AAAATTAGGAGACCCTTAAGGTTCGCCTTTAAGAGCTAAACGCGATAGCGCAATCCGGCCCCTAGTGCGCCCTTCAACCGCCAAGTGCATACATATTAATGTGTTTTGTTACACACATGCACACACGCACACAAACGCACGCGCGCGCAAGCGCGACATATCTATGTAGTAATGGTATAGAGGTTTTCGATCTATCTAACAGCACATTTATAACAACGTCCTGAAAATATTGTACAGTGATTTAGCCACATGATCTTGTATTGTGAACTGCGCAGAGGCGTGATACTTGTTTTCGTAAATGGTCATATTCTGTCGCCCGTTTAGCATTAGTTATCTGGCAATTGTTCGACATGTTCTTCTGGAGACCACTTCCGGCCAACCGCAACAACCATCGCCTTATGCTCGGTGAAATGGCAACTGCAGTACTTCACTTCTTTAACGGTGTCATGAGAATTGAAAGCTAAATCTCTGCAAGTGTTAGGGTTTGTTGAATTGACATTTCCTTGAAGGAGTATAAAGAGTCTCACATGCCTCACAGATGGCAGCACATTATCTGGTGTTTGCTGTTTGCTTAATTGACGCCTCAGGAAAGGAATGATATGATTTTTCGCGAGATGGACATATTTGTCCATTTTTTTACCTGTTTGAAAGGTTCTGCGTGTTTTAGCGGAGATGGCCGCACTATCCCGGCGTTTTTCAACGTAGCCTCCCAAATGCGCCTACAAATCGCCGAATGGGCTCGTTTTCGTCGTGACACCTGTCGAACAAATGCGTTACAAAGACTCCTTCCACTACATGGCATTTATGTAGCTTTTTTTTTTCAAAGCACCTGCGAATAACATCGTGGCTTTGTGGTAGGACACCTGCTTGCCACGTGAACGGCCCGGGTTCGATCTTCGATGGCACTAAAAATTTTATTCTTTATTTTATTTTAATTTTTCTCGATTTTTCAGTCATGAACGATTTTTCGCTCACAACCAATGGAGCCGACACCGACGACGGAATTTCTGCGGCACGAGCTCTTTGACGCTATTGCGTTAATAAAAAAAGACGCAGCGTTACGAGCAGTTACGCAAGTGAAGAGAAACAGCGCCCTTTCTGCAGTGATTGTTTCTGTCTGCCCAGTAATCATGGCTTCATTGTGGTTGCAGTGATATCTATGTTGAAGAGGGGCGCGGTTATGACCGCACAAATTAGTAACAGTCCTCTAATGCCGGTTTCATTTAGATAGACATAAACAAATTATTAGCTTAACAAGAATACTAAAAGCCCTTTTCTATACATTGTGCGGCTTTTTATCGTTACTTTCGCAGAAACCGTTTTCGCAAAAGGCTAAGAAAAACAACTTGCTCAAGTGTAACGCTTCTTAACGTAGCTATCACGACCGAAAGGTATGTTTGGCTTAGTTTGGCAAAGATCACCCAGAGGTTAATATTCAGTAATTGCATTGCAGTTGTGCGCCATTTTACAGGGAACGTTAGCGGAGTAACACACACTTCATCACCAGAATTAGGCTCTTCATTGTTTGTTTGTTTGTTGGTTGGTTCGTTATCGTTCGCTATGTGCCGTTCGTCGGCTCATCTCCCCGCATATATGAGTGCTTCTACTCTACGCACCAGGGGGACAAATATCGTGTCCACCCATTATCAGACAGACAGGTTGTCGCTCTGTCTGTTTCTATTGCCAATAGAAACAGGCAGCATCTGTTTTTGCATAGAAACAGACAGCGTCTATTTCTATTGTCATTGAGCGATCGAACCACTCACATCACTGTGGCCGCTAGAACTGGCGGAAAGGCACACGAAAGAGCACGCGGGCGTCTGTATGCGGTCAACCTTCTCCTTGTAACGTGCTTCCGAGGCGGCGAGGAATCTAGCAAGAACAGCTGCGACAACTCTCCGTAGTGGATCACGTGGCTACGACGTCACATATGCCACACTTGCCCGCCGCCTGTTCAAGGCCATTGCGACGAGATTAATGACCTTGAGGAACATGGCATAGAAGAGCTCTCGCTGCAAAGTTGTTCTTTTAGGAACACTGAACGCTTCCAAGGCATTATTTATGCTTCTTCAGTTTATTTTGTTGAGAGATAGCTTCATGAAAACTTATCACCTACGGTTTCTATTTCGTTTCTCATGGCTTCGTCTGTTGCGAAATACTCGTTTCAAATTATTGCTTTTTTTTTTTTCACAGCGACCAGGCCAAAGGCCACAACAAAAGTCACAATGGGTAAGCTTTGTATAGTGGACCTTTCTTGCGACCCTTTGAGCGAAGCAATAAGGCTAAGCGTATTTAAAATCATAGATACATTTGTCAGTGTCAAAACATATTGAAAATTAGTAAACTCACTCAGTGATGAGAGTTAAGGATAATTGCTTGAGTTCTACTCGTACATCGAGTGAAAAAAAAAACGTAAGCTCAAAACTTCAAGATAAAGATTTCAACTTGGAAACACTAAGCATAGGTGTGAGATATAACCAGGCGAAAGAAGCAAAATGTTTTATTGTATGCGTAAATAAAGCAATAATACCATCATTTCCTCAACGTGCATACTTCTTTTCCTTAAAAGTGATAATTACCATATTAAAAATATGTTGAAAGACGATTGCAAATTTCTGTTGTCAAGGCCATTTTCTCAGTTGTTAAAAACAGTGATGCTGAAGGAAAAAAAACACAGTTGTGTTACCTTTATTCACATGGTGGTGTAAATAAACAATCGGATCGTTCAGTGGATACTTTATTGGCTTAAGAATCTTCTAGTCAATCTAAATATTTCATGTAACGTAAACCTAAGAGTTTAGATGCTCTGGCAAGCAAATGAAAGGGCCCTGATTTGCTGTGAATCAGCAGATAACAACGTTGACCTCCATTGTTTACAGCCACAATGACGACCACGTGTAAGCTGTGTACATTTTCTGATTTTTAAATTAAGTATTGTGTTGCCATGGCTGCCTTTTAAAATAAGTATATGGCAGAGCCATGGCGTTATTTAGCCATTCTACGCGAGAACAAATCGATTAGGTAAACGCCGATAATAAATTAGATTTTGTCCTCTAGCCAGTTTGAAGTTTTAAAAAGCTTTGGAAAAAACTAAATGCAAGTACCAAACATGTGCATCGGGAAGTTTGTTGATAAATTTCTGCAAAAATGAAAATCAAAGACAGGTCCTGTTAGGCTATTGACAAATAGCGTATCGCAAGGTAATAGAGCAAGCCGAAAAAAGAAGAAGATTGAAACTTGAAGACATAGCTATCACAATTACCTCAAGATATATATATATATATATATATATAAGAGTTTCGGCTGGTGGAAAAGGCGTTGATGCACTACCTGTTTGGCGGATGAACGTAAAATAAGAACAAAACATTACGAAACAACAGTGACAACCATTAGGGTGTTCGTGGAACATGTTGCAATGTTAATAATAATCGCTCAAGAATTCTATATGCAATTGTAATGTTTATTTTTGCGCAATCAACTCCCGATTTCATTAACTTAGAAATCGCTTTACAGGCAATTATATATATATGTCGCGACGTGAAGACAGAGGTTGTAATTGAAGACGCTGAGAAAACAGCAAGCGGAGTCGGTCTTTTTATTAACCGCGCGCACCAGAGAGCTTCTCGTGTTTCTCGTTGTTGCGTTTTGCATAAAAGCGTGCAGATGCGCGTATGCGCTGTCGCTTTCGTCTTTTCGCGGTACGCACGTGAAAATATGTTTACTGTGGCCTTGACATTTATTCGATGACTCCAAAAAAATAACAACTTACAATATTCCGTATAATACCAGCTATAGATGACGGAGGCGCTGACAAAAATCAAATTAGCCGGCCTGAATAAATCTTTATTCCTCATTACCAACACAAGGCGAAATGCGCATGGTCAGAATCCGTAAAGCTGTGCGGGCTATGTCAATACATATAAAGAAAGACCTCACCCGCCACGCTCTCTCTGTGTCCAGTTACTCCGATGTGGAAGAACCGCTTGATCTGCATGTTCAAGGCCACCTTCGATCCGGGCCTCCTGTTTCCCGAGGACGGAGTGTGTGACCTTAGCTTCTTCGGGGCGCTGGAGCAGAAGCACGCTTTCCTGAAGGACGAAGGAGGAGAGTACAACGCGGCGTTGGACGCCTTTTTGGCAGTAGCCGGGAAGCAATACAAGACCGACCACGGAGTCAGCCCTCGACCCTCGTGAGACTAATCATTTTACCAGCCGATAGTCATTCTTGATGATACTTCAACGAAAAAAATATTGGCATATCTCTTTGTATTTTATGTCTGTTAAACGATTCAGCCACCTTGCGAAAGTTTTAAGAGGCGATGGAGGCAAAGACGACTGAATATGCGATTTTTCAACTTTCAAAGCACCAGCATTTCCGTATAATTGACAAGTGCTTTGAAGAAGCGGTGAGTCCCTTCATGATGTTCCAGAAAGCCTTCAATACACAACGAACCCACGCCTTGATCCCGTGTCTGCACTGTGTGAACTCGAACTTTAATGGCACTTTTCCTGAACACTAGTTTTTTTAGAAAAGGAACGTTGTCTCTGTAGACCCTGAAGCTATGAAATACGGACGTTTCTGACTTTTTTTCTTAATATCATACTCCCTTGCTGAAACAAAGAATGTTGTTGCCACCAGAATTGTATTTTTACTAAAGTTCGCTTCAAGCAAATGGGCCTAATATTCTAGTGATAAAACTTATGTGGCGAAGCCTTCGAACAGTGGGTCGTCCTCTCCAGCGCCTTCTAGTGGGTCGCCCTTTTAGCAAAAAGAAGAGCAGCTCGTGCAGAGAGTCGGTACCC